GCAAACTTTAGGGTCATTTGTTGGATAAATATTTGGAGTGTTGTATTATGATAGTACACTGAAGGTTGTCAGACGAGATATTTTATTTAGTGCTAGTGATTAATTTCTTTTATAACATGCTTCACCCTGTATCAGGAAAAATAAAAGAATCAGAGTAAGTATTCTAAAGTATATGGATTCGTCCTGTAAAATAACTTACATTTGTCATATTCTTGATCCTTTTGTGTAGTGCATATTTATTCACTTAATTTGTCTTTCTGATAGTCCCCCAGAGAGCCTACTCGACGAATTATGAAAACGTTTCTTAATATTTCGGATATCTTCGTCAGGCTATCTCAAATATTAGGTGGCTCCAGTATATCATTGAAACGCATTTTTAGAATCGAATACACTGCTAGCTCATCTGGTGTCTTGAATCTATCTACCTAACTCAGGATTATAGCATTTTATGCTGTCTTTTTCCCGCATTCTAGGCAAAGGCATATTCCATATAACAGATGACTTATACCGTAATGTTTGGCTTATACTGGACAAGCAGTGCTGTATTTTGAAGAACAAATGTCATTTCTTTATTTATAATTGAACTTATTGGTGAAGCCATATATTGTATTGGAGGAACGTAATAATTATTGTATGAGTTTATAGCATTTCAAACTTAAGCCTAATCCCCATTTTTCAATGTGAACGAAGCCCAACTTGTGTCAAATCATATGAAGGTACTTGGGTTGCGTTTCACTGTTGGAGTTAGGAATGAGATGAGTCGCGGTTGACTATGATCACCCGTACAGACCAATTACGCACCCGCCAATAAATATAATATCTCCGTGAATCAAGGACAGAGTATAAGAGTTCATCTATACATGGAAATATACTTATTGGCGATTTTTTAGCATCGAAGGGATACCGAAATCTTGCCGAAATGGCAGCAACACAAACAAAAAGTTTTCCCATACAAAGTACAAATAAACAAAAGGTTCATTATAAAAATCACTGGTAGAGTTGGTTATAATAATGTATGTCTCTATTCAACCAGTCGCTTTCACTTCGTAAAAGTGAAGTCACTACAAGTTATTTTTGTTAATTATCTTTGTAATCCTCAGATTTTTCAATCGCTTATCCTTATTTGTACTCTACTATTGAAAATGTGGCTGTATAATACTGTTTCTGTCAGTGACATGGTGTAAATATGCAATCGGAAACTGACTCTTAAACCTAATTTAACTGCTATAACTTTACAGTAATTGTGAAAGCATTTGTGACAATTTGATCTAGCCTGTAAACTGGCGTGACTCTTGTAACGTAGTAGTAGGACAACTTGCATTGGTTAGCCATCCAGGATGACTGGGGATTATGGATAACCGAAGTGTGGCTTTGTGCCAAATGGACTGATTCCTTAAGTTTCTGCCTATCAATCCAATCTCCTGGATAGAAAAGTAATGATAAGACCATCTGTTTCTGCAATAGTTTCGCTAACAGATGGATTTCCAATATCGGATCCCTTTATAAGGCGGGAAAGTTGTCTACTGTTGCTTATCAACGCTGCCTTTTCCATCTCTTTCGCTTTTGCAACTCACCACTGTTCACGGTCGTTGCTTGGGCTTTTTATCAGCCTGCGTCTAAGCTGAGTTCGCTCTTCGTCATGTTCACAGCCGGGTGGGATAAGTTTTCGAGCATCCATCAGTTCGAGATCCATGTCTTCTTCATAGCCCTATGGTATGCCTTTCCTTTTCACTGGATCTACCTACTTGGGCATTGAAGTCACCTGACGTTTTTGTGGAGGTCCAAAAGCTTTCTGTAAAACTCGTCTTTCACATCGTCTGAACTGCAGTCGGTGGGGGCGTAGGCAAATACAACGAAGAGGCAACTGCGAGTGTCCCTGTCTTTCCGAGTCCTTACTGTCTCATTCATTTGGACAGCGCACAAGTGATTATCTGTTGGAATCAGATCTAAGAAAGCTAGTTCCGCCCTAGGACTCAATGCTTTACCTATACCAGCAGCAGGGGCAGCATCAGGGCTTCCGGATTCACTGAGAGTAAATCTCGCAGGATCTTTATTTTGACATGGTAACGTCAAATGAATGAAGCTACTCGGATTCTGTATGTGAGTTTCGGAGACGCAGCATACATCTGTGGCGCGAGGTTCTAAAGTCGTAGATAAGGAATCCTGTTCGGACGATAAAAGCTCCAACCTTTAGCTTCAGGAGACCGGGAATAACGTTTCGTGAACGCGAGTCGTTTGCATTAGCGCTGCAAAGTGTTGAAGGGATGTGAGAAGTGTGAGGCGCGGAGATAAGAGAGATGTTGGGGAGTGTAGGAGGGACTTGACTGTGACTGATCTGGTTTCGCGTGCTGTTACGGGTATGAGGGCGGTTGTCACTTTCCAGCTGCCCACAACGTGCAGTGTTTCTTGAGGGACCTGAAAGGGAATGTAGATTAGCGTTGGTTGTAACGATCTGGGAGCGTGACCGCAAAGCCCAAGGGACAACTTTTTGAGGCCAGTCACGTATGGCTTTCTTATGTGCTATATTTTAAGTGTTAGCCCCTTCCTGTCTCAAAATGCCCAACCCTGGAGACGAAAATCCGTAAGGTAAGGTGAGGTGTGACATTTTTAGGGTCGAACTTTTCTATCACTTCCTTCCTTGTGAGAAGATAGCATCGCGTACAGATGCTGATTGTCCAAGGGAAACACCTTATTGCTGTCACACCTCTATACAGTCAGCAGTATGACTTTGCCCTCAGACCTTGAGTTGCTGCTTTTAGTCTTACCGTTCATCAATCGACCTGCCTGGTATGGTTGAACCTTCAAGAATATATGTTCCAGCCAATATGGCTCAGTCGGGTCATCAAGATAGGCAAGCCCAACCACCACGACAAGGTAGCAGCTGTGGTCGGGAGACGAATGAGGTAACCGATCATTGATAATTATATTACTCCTATACGACTGTTACTTTTCAGGCTCAGATTTCTAGTTTTCTGCTGTGATCGCAATGATACTCAGGCACTAAGAGAGTGACACTTGATGGACAAAGATAGACAATCGCCAACATACTTATGAATGCTTTTCCGAACTTTACCTTTCTCGCCATAACTTCAACTCAAATGAACAGATCTAGTTACTTAAGCTTCTCTTTCATTATTCCAACTATATCTGCGTTGATACACTCCTCATCTCATTGTTCTTCATTATTCAGCTTCATTATTTAAAGACTATATCAGTTCAATTTATTTCAATTTTAGCAACTAGTATCAGTTTTATTGACTGACTAAATATCACTATGTTCGCTTCAGTATGAAGGGTTAGACAATGCTCTTGTCACATATCCAGTTACCCACTGGATCCGTTATTCTCTTTTTTCCTAGAACCTTAACAACAGTGAACAATCACCGAGATTCCAGTTGTACGCAGCATTTACTTTGCATAAAAGTTCGTCAAGGTCACAGCCTAGAACGTTTGTCTTTTAGGGGACCTTCCCTAAAAAATATGAGCTTACCAACCTGTCCCATCACACACATACACTGCAAGTGATTCTCCCCCCATATACCTTCTAATTAACCCCCCCTTGAGTCACGAATAGAATCCAAGAACTCCAATGTGTAAATGGCTTAATTTTAATCACTTGCTGGAATTATCTTTGAGTCATATTGATCGTATCTGTATAATGGCGCCTACCTGCTAAGTCAGAAGAAGAATGCTATCACTGTTAATAAACTTACCTATCACAGTAAATGTGATAGCATTTGTGACGGTTTGACCTTGCCTGTGAACTTCTATGCATCAAGTTACCTGAGAATAAATATTACTACTCTTCTAAACACATCGAGTCTATATTATTGGAAAATTCAGTTACCTATCAATAATATATATTCAAACGTGTCTCTTACAATATTTTGTGGAGATAAAATCATTTGCGATCATTATTTGTACTACAGACTATTTCACTTTTCAGTAGGAAGTACTTCGTTTGAAATAAATATAAATTCTTGGAATCCTTATTACGTACAGATTTCCTACCTGCCATCACCAACTGCTTATTTGTTTTCATGCTGAACAATAACTCGAGGAACCCTAATTAATTTCATGGAAGCTGCCTCGTTCGCTATCGAATAATTGCTGTGACTGTTTTTATATAACTGTTACATAATTTTAGTGGAATTACAATGAACAATAGTCACGTGCTTAGTTAGGCTGTTCATGTCCTTCGCTTAGCTTACTAATCACTGTTTTATAAATTATGGATGTGAGAGTGTGTTACGTCAATTAAGGTCAACACGAAAGTGATAAACACAGGTGTACGCCAATCTAATGAACATTACTTTTTGTTCATTTACTGGATACGTTAATTTTTACTTTCACTTTTGCATTCAGAACATACACACACATTTGTTTGCGTGAGACATTTGATGCTAAAAGCAAAAGTTTTCGAACAATATGGTCGCAGTTTTTCGTCAAACTGCATGGTGGAGTATATATAGGAATTTGCTACATTTTGATTAAGAGTAATTCATGACCGCTAAAAAGACTGGAAAGGCTTATATAACGTTTCTCATCATGTGACTCTTCTATTCCTGATGCCTGAAGCTGATAAGTTGAAAGGAAAGTTTCATAAGTTTTTAAAAGTGAGACCATAGCGTCAATGTTTAAAGGCTAATCTCAACGAATACATAGTTAACTGAATTCTGAAACAAAAACGCATTTTCGATTACTTTGGAAAATAAAGTGGAAACTAAATCGTCGCAGTAGTAAAAACTTGAGGAAAATATGAGATGCATTACCCGATCATATTGCATAAAGGTAATTTTCAAGGGATTACACTACAATATGTTTGTGATTACCAAATTAGATTGAAACGTGTATCTTCTAATATGTGTAATACAAGTACAGTGTAAGAATAAAGTATAGAAATCGGTGAAAAGCTGGAGAATCTGTGTATTTCCACTGACTTTCGAAGTAGCCGTTAATGTTTTATTGTTTTAGTTATTCAAGGTATATGAGATGCCATCCAGAATTTGGTCAAAAAATTAAAATGAGTCGGAGTTTTCGTTAGTGATGGATCGAAAACCATCAGTTAGTCGTAAGTTAGATAAAAGTAATAACTTCGGAAGTAAAATTGTTGTTTTCTGGTACTTATCAAAACGTTATTTTAAAAAGAACTGTGGAAATACTTTGATATAAATATATGAACTTACTGATAACTTATAATAAAGGTTTGACCACTTTTAACCTAAGTCAAAAACGATCAAGTATCCCCTTTTATTTATTCGCAAGCATCCACAGAAGTATCCTCTTTGTTTTCTAGTTTTGTGTTCTGTTCTTGGAATCAGTTTTCTGTCTGTATCGTCATTGTTGTAATTACATACACTTTACCATAGACGTCGATAGTCACGAAGAGTAGACAATATGTCCTATTTGCGGATAAAAATCATTGTAATTTCACTCATTCCTTGAAATGTATCGAAAAAAGGTTTACTGTTTAAACGCTGAAACATCTAACCTTTAGTTTCTCAAAATCATAAGATTGTGTTTCATATTTTTTCAATGGAATAATATTTCGTCAAGGCAATTTCCAGCCCAACACAGTAATACTCTGTTCTGTAGTCCTATTCAAATCAAGAATCAACGCCTAATTAGTTCATCCCCCGGTTTAAAGATGAAAATTAGAGGCTGGCTGTACAAAGTGTAGAACCGAATAAACAGTGTATTCTAAGCTTTTGCTTCCGTATAACCGTTTAAAAAGTCTTTTAATCTATTCTCTAAAGATTTTTATTTTCCTCATACTGAACCAGTCAGGTATAAGGTGCTTTATGTGCCAGAGTTGGCTGATTGCCTGACATGAGATGTTTTCAAGTGAATATTCAACAGCTGTTTCTCAACATGCTTGTTTGCTATTTGACAGTGAGGCTTGTGTTTTAGGAAAGCAAAAGTCAGCGTTTTGAAATGATTTATTATCTTAAACTAGAAACGCAACTGTTTCAGATTGCGCAAATCCATTTTGAAATTAGTACGCATGGCTGAAAAAAGTTTCTTTCATTTTAAAATAGAAAACAAAGCCAGACCGTTTTAAAATGATGCGTAACTTTTAGTTCCTGATCTTTAAATAAACCTTAATTTCATTACTTTTCATATATATATATATATATATATATATATATATATATATATGTATAACGATAAGGCAAAACCTTAATATTGAAAAACGTATCTGTACTGACAATTTTAGTAAATAAGCCAGAATTGCATAATATAACATTGTATAGATTTAGAGTTTTAAACCCATAACTGTTACTTGAAGAATTTGAATCACGATTGAAGATTATTTTGAATAGATAATGCTTTAGAGGTATTATCGTTTACTGAAAAATGTTACATCGTCAACATAAGTTATAAAACAATTAGTTTTTAGATATTTCTGCCTGGTTATGTTTCACAAAAGCAGGAAACATGGAACGGAAAAATAGTTTAGAAGTTGTTCAAATGTCACTAAATATTCTTTCATGTAACACCTTGCTAACACAGCTTTCAGAATACATAGCCACTGGCCTTTGCATACTCTTGAATGCGTTAAACTAGACATTTGTTTGACAGACTGCAGGACGTACACTAAGTAAGCTACTTAACTTTTGAAACACAAAGGGTATATTTATCACTGAATTTGATGAGCTATGATTTCATCTTGTGGTATAAAACTCTAATCGTTTATCAAGAGGTAAAACTATCTTTAGAAACCTGATCCATTTTTAATTTTTTTAAAGCTCATGTTAGATTTAATACTTTCTGAACTTTAGTCTTTAGTTAGGCCTACTTTGTTTTCAGCAATGATATTGGCGTCGACATTTAAACTTTTACTATCGCTTTCGGAGCCTATGAGTCATTGACTATACCGATGAGGCCATACATTTGCCGAACTGCTACTATAAAGAATAAATTGTACAATAATCTTTTCAGGATGTATATTCGTCGATTGAGACTGATCGCTAGTAATCTTTAATGTGAAAAATAAAAAAACCAAACCCATAACAATGACTCTACCTCTGTTGTACTTGTATGAACTCAGGAATTCATTAGACATTTTGTTATTATTTGAAGCGACAGCTAATCAGCTTTAGTCTCACCCTGAAAATTAACCTCAAAATAAAACTGAAAATGAGAATGAAACGTTTATGTTATAGGTCAGTAGTATGTAAAAATATTTCCCAAGCTAACAGAGTATTTTGGTCTAAAAACAGCCAAAAAATGTATTTAGAATTCCTTTGGACTAAATAATTTACTTAAGCTGCACAGTTTTTAATCAATACTTTGGTCGATAGAAGCATTAGAGAAGATTAAATTATCAATTGTTACGGGATGGAAAACAGCCAAAGAAGTCAGGTGATGGTAAAGAGGCTAGAGAAGAGAGAAGGGTGAGAATAGTTTACGGGTCAGAACTATTATGTACGTGAAAAAAATGAACAGCATGAACGTTATAATAACAATTTAATAAAAAGAGTGGAAGACTATTAGAGGATAAATGATAACTTACTGCCGTTTAGGAAGTACAAAATAATAAACAAAAAAAATAGAATTACAAACCATGGATGTTTTTTAAGCTAGAATATTTAATTTCTTAGTTTTCTGCACATCTCAGACTTACAAGCCACAAAATGAAGCTTAGTTTTGGTCTTTCTGCTCAATTACTTGACAAAAATTTAACGCCCAACCCAAAACATATTTCTATGATTGACATTATGAATCTGAATAAACCTGATTAACTATTCCTTCAAAATGCTATCTGTTATTAAAAGCTTACTTTTCCAATGCTCTAAAGAAAATATTTTCGACAGTTAACACTTTGGTTGATTTGTGGGTAAAACTGAACTATTAAAGTGATATATACTTACGGGGAAAATTCGATCAGGTTCTCCAGAATGAAGTATTTTATAATATATTTTAAGTAAGATTGTAGTCAGTCCTCAGGATCCTTAAAATGTTCTTTTTTAAAATAGCTTCTGTATGATAAAATTTCATAAGAGATTTGTAGGTTCGAATTGAAAAGCTTCTCTACCTTAAAAACCGGTCCAGCATGACATACGCAGTTCATTACCAAGTTACTTGATTTAAGATGTTTTGTTACAAGCTAATCAAGTTTTATTTTCATTGTACAAACGTTCTAAAGAAACCCTCTCCCTTTTTACCTGATATAGCTGATAGTAACTATTCAAATTCTAGCTAGTCGATGGTAAGCATAGCTAAACAGATTCTCCTTGAACATCTTTACCTTATAATTTGGTAACTCGTCTATAACAGTCAAAATTGGGAGTAGATCAGAAAACTTTTTTAGCCCAAAAACACTTCACTTTAAAGGCACCTCACTAAGAGATTCGATGGTCATGAAAATAGCGAAAGATATGTCAAAATGTCTAGCATAAGAACTAATCCCTAGTCATCTTGTCATTGTCATCTGAAGTTGATGAATAAAGGCAATCAATCAGCAGAAGAAATTTGCATGGAGTGCTAGATTTACACCGGACATTACTTTGATAGGTGAATTAAGATGATAGAAACCGAACATATCAAAATAAAATAATCATTGATATATTGATGTCATCATAACAGACATATAGTTTAGAAAGAAAAAAGTGAGCTTGAAAATCCAACGAAGATAAAGAACAATTACTGTCAATGTTGAGCTATGTTATCCATGACTTTTAATCATGGACTATGGTTGTACTAAGGGCATTAGATAGAAAGTTTATTTCTCTTTATATGGCTCAAGTAAATAGTCATTTACTTTGTAGATTGATGCAATATGTTTGTTTGGCTATCATCCATTGCCTGGAAAAATGCTAACCAGAGTGAAGAAGTTATGATTTACGGTAGTTGGTCATATGTAATGACTTTCTCAATTATGTCGATCGATTTAGCGAGTTCATTTTACCTTTTATCTCATGTTTCAGATTTTTACATATTTTTTTCAACATTTTATTCAACTGAATATTACTTACTAACAAAATTTATATATCACCGTAATTGAATAACCTGTTTGTCATAGTCTTCGGGGATACAATGGGGAGCGTTTAAGGAAACACTAAACAACACTATATATATTGTAGTACGATATCTTCATCTTATTCGTTGAACTTCATTCTCATACAATTCTCATACAGTATATATTCTGAGTATATTGTGATACTCATAACCTAAATTACAAACTTTCATGTTCTTATTTACATCTTAGGTGATCATTCACACTCTAGTTTTTATTTGATACAACTCAGTTTTTGTCACTTACAAAACGGCACCCTTGAAGAAATATTTTAAAATAAGGCATTTTTACAATTTATTTCAATCTGAGGTTTTTCAGAATAATGTATCTAAATCATTATATTGACAATGATTTATGTTATTTACCTGAATAATATATTAAACATTTTTATTAAAATGATAATGATTTTACTTAAATCATCGCTATATCAGTAAATTGTAATGATGCCTTTTTAATTTCATAAACATTTTGTATGATCTAGTTAGCTTTAGTTGAAATGATCCAGTTGTTTTTTTTTTAAATCATTAAAACATCATTTATGTATGATAAAACTGGATGGGATATTTATTTGTTGTAAGAGTTACTCTTTCAACAAATAAATATTATGAATACATGTCATAAAATAATATCACTATTTTATGATTCATATTGAGTTGTCAATCTATAAACTTGTTTGCAGACAAAGTTATTATTTCAATTCTAATTTGTTTTCCTATGACTAATTTCGACAAATAGTCAAGTGGGTAGTTCATCCAGTGTTTAATGTGAAGATTGCTTTTTATTCCTGATAATCAGTACAAGGGACCTAAGTAGTTCTATAATATATAATTATGTAAAACCGATCAAAATACTCTTCAGTTATTTTATAATTTCAATTCTGGGAACTAAGAAAACGGTTGTTTCGATCTGTAATATGTTGTATGTACATATCCATAGGTTGCAAGTGTTTAAATATGTCTGTATGCTTTCTTAATGTATAATGCGATAATATGATGTTAATTTTTTTGTTTCTGTTATTGGTTCTTGTTTATTTTTTTTTAAGTCTCAGTAAT